CAATATATTGATTTATTTAAAAAGTAATGCGGAGATAGATTAGTAATGGAAATAAGAGTTTATTTGCATTTTATATTGATCAGTAGAGGCTAAAAACCAGGAAACAGATTGGGTCTCTCTCAGTGACACATGCCTCTCCAGCTCAGGCCTAGTCTCTTTTACTTTAGGCTTAGTTATTATATTCAAAGCACATCACAAGGCAGACCTTAATCATGCTTATGCACAAAGGGCCTCCTGCAACAGCTGTAACAGCAAAGTCCACTCATATCAAATGAATGCACAGACATTATACTACAGTGACATTTTGCTTTTAGCCTATCTGATCAATAGCACTCTGGTGAAATGTTGATCCGCTGGCATCATTCATCCATCCATCCATCCATTATCTATACCACTTATCAAGAAGGACATTTTAAATACATGCAGTATGTTATATTTTATTTTTACTAAATTAAGGCACTCCTTACAAATAATCAGCCCATGGGTTCATCAGCAAGTTGCAACTAGAGGTGGCGCAACATGCTAGTGTATGTTCATTTATACATGTGTGAAATCTAGTGCTTTAGTCATTACTGTTTTATAATGTAAAGCTTGCTGAGTGAAGCAGTAATATTTTCCCCTTCATCTCCCAGTCCTGCACAGTAGTCAAGGTACAATGTGCTCTCGGTTAATGTCAACTGAAACTGTAATTTTCTAACTTTAGTTTAATTCTGAGGGAAAAACTAATTAATTATCTTGGTTAAGGAGCACGAATTCTCAGACAAACTTTGATTTCACTCATTTTTGAGAGAAATCCTCACAAACAAAATATAGTTTGAGTAACCACGGGACTCTATAGGAACGCTATCATACAATGTCACTATCACCATTGCAAATGATATGACCAAAACCCGGATGAGTAAAATTGCATTACCAGGCTGATGCCTTTCACATTGATAAAGCTTAGCAACAACCCATCCACAATATATGCCATTTCCAGGCAACAATTACTCAATATAACAATTTAAAAATACTTTCTAACCAACAGTGGCGTTTAAAAACGTCTTGCGCAGTAAAATTCAATCAGCACCTACCAGCTGGTGACATTTTCTTCCGTGACAGGGTTATATTATATTACTTCCTGCTTTGACTGAATTTAATGGTTTGTTAATTTTTTAACAAAACTAAATGGAAACCCACGCGCAGCTGCCTCGTGCTGAACGTCTGTCATCTGCTCGCGAGCCCTCAGGTGGTGAATGAGCGCGCTGACGTCGCGTGGCTGTGTCCCCCCCGACGCGCGCCTCTCCGGACTGCCACAGTGACCTTGTCGAACCATAGGCTACGATCTGACTCATCGATATTAAATTTAAGTTCATATGTGTAACACACACCGATTTTTGATCATGGTCTACTCATTTGGTTTATACGAAAACAGTGACTTTCTTCTTAGTGTGCGAGAGAGAGACAGTCTGTGTGGTTACTAACATTTAATCTGATTTAATCTCAGTCAAGGCGCCCAAGAAATGACCTATGATGTCATGATTTAGCCATTCTATGGAAATAAGGATCAGACTGAAGAGGACTGGGCAGACAGTGGAGAAGGGATGTCAAACTGCAAACACAACAATCAGCTGCCCCCAACAACATAAACAAAGCATTTAGAATATCAACACCCTCATATGCATTTGCCTGTTTTACTGAAAATGCTGTTGCAACAAACCTGTGATACTGTTTCTTTACCCATTGTACTGTATAAAATTGAATCAATGTCACCATATATTACATATTTAACCAGGTAGGCTGTGTAATTTTAAATTGCATGTGTTTGTGTAAAAACACTATTTGTAATTGACCCATGGAAAACTGTCCAGGCAGGGTGGAGGTGGTGGGGTGGGGTTAAATGGGCAACAACACAGAGGAAGCGACAGAGAAAAAGTGATTGATGTCAGACTGTGTGAATGATCAGAAAGAAGTTGAGAGGGAAACAGCATTATGTCAGTAATAAAGATTACATTTTGGAGCACCACTGACTAAAAAAACTAAAGATAACAAAACAAGGAAAAATATTTGTTTATAACTGTATGTGAAAAGAAAAGTTCTGCAAATGTTATGCTAGTTTGTTTTTGTGTGGTGCTAGGTTGGTTTTTGGGATAATGCACAGAGAAGCAGCAAGTTCAATGTCAGAAAAATATTTGAAATTCAATACAGAGTTGTTTCTTTGTGATTGGAAACTTACCTTGACTAGTCTTCTCTTTTCTAAACACAGTTGCTGGGGTTGCCTTAGTAGCCTAAGGTTTTAAGGCACTGACCACAAACTGGACAAAGTCCATTGGTTGATAGTAGCCAGGCAGGGACCATGTTCTTCTCTATCTCAAACTGAGGTAAACTTCAATGGCATGAATTTTAACATTACATTATTACCAAAGCTACTGTCTCGCTTCATCTTCCTCCTTATGTCTTATCATCTTACTACTATCAATTCTCCAATAATAATTCATAAAAAAACTAACTGTGGTAAACTCTTTTTTGATTGATGTGTGACTTGATTTGATTGTGGTAAATCTCTGGAGCTTGAGTTGTGGTCTAAAATAAACAATGAGAAATGTGTGCCTGTGGGACAGAACTTTCCTTTTTACTTGTTTGACTAGTAATGAAGCATAAATCCTCCAGCAGAGAGCCAGCATTTCCACTGTTTAACTTTGACCATGGGTTGCTTTCACACAGTGGTATTTTAAACAAATCATTTAATGTACAACTGTAATTTGGAAACTAGATATGGTGCTTACTTGGCTTCAATTTTAAAAATTTAGAGGGAACATTTGCAGCTGAATGGACAAGGTGAGGAAAGGAATCATCCTTATTAACCCCAGGTTCAAGCTCTTGTGTTGTCAAGCAGTCATGAATCCTCACTGAAGCGCTGCCTAATTAGTCTGTTATTATTATTACCAAATGAGAATATGGGGCTGCAATACTGATTTTGAGCCACCAGTGGGCAGATTGAAACAATGTCCACATCCATCAGTGAGCCTGCACTTAAAGAGCTGTGCATCAGGTTCACCTACAGACAAGAAGCAGACAGAAAAAAAGAACTGATGACCATGCATTAACATTTAATAGTTGTGAATAATAATTAACACCAACTCATTGGATTTACTTCTATTTGCTGTGTACAGGCCACATACAGATTGACTGAGAATGTCACTTTATTGTTTCTTAGTTGACTAAATCACTGTGTGCACTTTACCTCCTGAGCATGGATGATAATGGATTACATCAGCAGAATGAACGAACATCAGGCAGCAGATGATAATGTCATGGGAATGTTATCATGATGGTTGATGAGAGAGATGAACAGTAATAATTAGCGACAGCAGATGAGGAGGGTAAACCTTGCTTGTTACACATACAGCATATATCACATGCACACTAGCATGCATATTGTACATTGTACATCAATAAATATACATCCATACAAATGTGTAAACATGAAAACACACACCCTGCTTATGCAATTCATGCACCACACACGGCATAAAATAGATTTGGTGTGTGTTGCTATTGAGTTGTTAGTGTGTGTAGCACTTACGGATTTTCCTGGGTGCGAACGCTGCTTGTGTGTGAGAATGGCCCCAGTCCCATTGCATTAAGGGCGGCCAAATGCACTGTGTACTATATATATGGCTTGAGAGATAAGATAACTAGCAGCTCTACAAAAGCACGCACACAAAAGACATGGCCTCAACCATGTAATTTACCGGTATGATTTATGTCAGACTTAAATTTAAAGTGTAAGCAGTTTAAAACATAAATGATTCTCAAGCTGATTTTCTTTTGAAAGCATATGGAGTTCTACCTGGAGCTGGTACTGTGACCTCCTTCCACTGTTCTGCTGCACTTTGCCTCCACTGCAGGACAAAACTTGTGATTGGTGTTCCTCCACTGATGGGCGTGGTTTTGAGGGAGAAGAGGACTGAGGTCAGGGCAGGTGAGACTAACAGGTAGTGAGGTGAACTGGGCTGGGCTGTGAGTGGAGAGGCAGGCAAAAACACGTTACAGAATGGTATAGGAACATGTGTCAAAGGCGGTTATAAGTAAAGATGGTTACAGCTACTTTTCCTTCACTTAACTCACTCTTCTGAAGTATAAAGATAGACATGAACTCTTACTGTGTATTGCAGCATCTCTTGATGCATTTCCAGAAATGCTGACAGCCATGCAGGAATACAGTCCACCATCAAAGGGCATTGCCTCATCTATCAGCAGCCAGTCACACCATCAACAACACCGACTTGACCGGATGTTGAGTCCTGACAGAGCAAATAAAAAAAAATATTTATATTTATTCACACAATTTCTGCTGTAAATGCAAACACCCACTGTTTGGAACAACACAGTAAATTTGTCAGTCACAGTTACAAGAGGCTGACTGGAGTGTTGTTTGTTGAGCCATAGATTACAGCTACTGCACAATCACATTAACTCTGCATGGCAAAGAGGTGCATAATTTAAGATGTTTTGCAGCATGAAGGTCTGTTTGTGTAGTTGTATGTGTGTGTTTATCGGTCCGTACGCTCTTACCAGTGTGTGTCTACTATGCTTGCTGAGCCAGTGTAGCTCAGGCTGAGGATGGCCAGAGACATTGCAGGACACAGATACACGCTCACCCACTGATACCCACTACAGACATACCCACTATAGTCAGCCCTGGCAACAGCCCGAATAGTCAGCTGGCTGTGGTCTGAGTTGAACTGGTGATGTGAAGGGTCAAACGGCATCGGCCTGGGAGCAGGAAATGAAGAGAAAATGCACACTGAGTGATGTTGTAGTCATTTCCTTTTATTAATACGTCTTCATAAGATGAGAGATGCTATTCAGACTTTTACAAGCACAACTTCATGAAGCATGAGAGGAGAAAGAAAGAAGCCAGAAGAGGGAGACAGAGATAAAGCTACAGGGGAGACAAGTGATGCCACAGAACAGTAACGTATTATACTTATATGATAACATCATAAAATCAGGTCTTATTGGATGTTGGCTTTTGGTAGCCCATCCACCAAACACAGCAATGAGATGTTGGTTTGTGATCCAGCCAGCACTTTTTTTTTCACATCCTCTCTCAAATGTACTTTAGGAGGAGCTACAGAAAGAGATGGACTTTAAGGCAAAAGTGTGTTCAATTTACATAAAATACAATATTTTGCTTCAAATTAATAATGGCATTGTTGTGTCTTAAATTAAAATACAAAATGTACCATGAACCACTGAAGCATTCCTAACAATAACACTCGATGAGTCACACTGATTTCAGATTGCAACAACTTGAAAAGATCTTGGAGTCAAAAATGATCTTTCAAACCTCTTTACAAATGTATTTATTTATTGTTTATTTAATAGGGACATTGCAAAATACATTTATTGTACCAGATATGGTACAACAACCCCTAAACAAGGCAAATAACAGGAAGACAATACTGGTTTCCAACTACTTTCCATCAGTAACATAACATCTTTGAAAACAAGCTGTTCATCAGAGCAATGTTGATGTGATAAAGCTACTCACCAATGATGACCACTGAGATGGGGAGTTGCTGATAAATAGGTCTTCCTCTGATCTGGGCCTGACACACATACATATGTCCCAGCATCGTCTCGCTTCACTTTTCCAATCCGAAGTGTATTGTTAGGCAGCCAGTGCACACGTTCTCCCCCTGAAGTGAGCGATAGCAGCAGGCAAATGCAGAGATAGTGACTTGAAAGAGGTAACGGCAGAGACAAACACACATCCAGACCAAAGTCATATTTCTCTGTGTAGCCCATTGTTCAGCAATATTCATCTCAGTGAAGTGAACCACAACAGTAAAGTTAAAGGCCAGAAAACAAAACAATTGCTGGTAGCAAAAAAGTACTATGTACTGTAGCATGGAAATTGTCAGTGTCGACTTGAACAGCTTCGAAAACACAAAATAACCCACTTGCTTTTTCTTTATTTGAATGATTACAGTTTGATTTTAGAAAAGCACGTCTACTTTTACAGCATGTACAAATCTGGTGTTCCATTGCAGTTGTATATCAATACTTTACCCTGGGTACTGGCCCTACCATTAGAAAGGATTTCTTGCTTGTCTTTGAACCAGCGAACATCCACCACAGGCTGGCCGTGGACCAGGCATGGCGCTACCCCATCCGAACCCTCTGGAAACTCATGGTAGGTTATGGTTCTTCCAAAAGACGGGCCCTCTGACAAGGGAAAAGAAGCTTAGGATGTCTATTTTCTGTGCAATAAAGCAATGAGTGATATCATCATCAACACTGGGTTCAGCAACATGACTGATCATTTCAGTATGTGTGCGCAGCCATTTGTTACATACCAAAAATATACAGCTGTATTTGAACATCATCACTGTGTCCATTTTCAAATTCACACAGACAGGTATACCTGCCCACATCCTGCAGTGTATCATTTTTAATGAGCAATTTAGAGGTCACCTTGTCTTCATCGTCAATGTCTTCCCCATTCTTCTGCCATGTTATTTCTCCCTCTCCTCCGGCTAGGACAAAGAGAGAAGAAGGGAAGGTGAGGAAATGGAGTGAAAATACAGCATTAAGAAGAAGTTCAAGCTGCACAGTTTGATACATAAAGTCAAGTCTGTTCAGTCATTAAATGAAATAGAAATCACTTACCTTTACACAACAAGAAGATATCTTCCCCCACCAGCACATATTGCTTACTGGTTATAATGCCCATTTTTGCATCTACAGGAGGGGAGGAGTTGTGTTTTTCTTTTGTATTTGTTTGTCCTTCTTATAATGTTCAGAACCACATGCACAAAACCTTTTGTTAGATTTGACCCAAAATCTTTTATTGAAAGCGCGAGAAGTG